AAAGACATCATGATATTTTCAAAAGGGGTAGAGAAATGGAAATTGGAAAATAAAATTTTCTTGTTTTATAATTTGTACAGAATGTCAATTGCTAAAGATTTTTGAGGTTTGTAATCTGAAATTAAAAATGAATTAAGTTTGGGAACTAAGGTACTGAGATTTTTAAGAGTGTAGAAAAATACACATATATTATTTTATTTAAATATAAGCTGCCTCTAAAAGCAACTGTACTAATAAGAGTTCAACTTTCTCATTTTGTCTTAAGCAGAGAAAAAGTAAGTTCAGCTCTTTCAGAACTGATCATCTCTTTTGAGACATTTAAGAACAGAGCGTCAGCATATGTGCTCTCTCGAGAACATGTCAAACTCTAAATCTTATTGTGTGTTAATTATAACATTGTTTGTTATTTAAGTTACATAGTCTAAATCAAATGATTTATTTATTTATTTATTTATTTATTTATTTATGTTTTTCTGAGACAGGGTTTCCTTGTAGCCCCAAATGGTCTGAAACTTGGTGTGTAAACCAAACTGGCCAGGATCTAACACAGATTTCCCTGCCTCTGCCTCCCAAGCAATGGGATTAAAAGTGTGTGCTAACACATCTGGCTTTATAAAACCAAAAGATTTTTGCACAGGAATTTAGTAAATACTTATATACAATACATATAAAATGTACATGCTCTATATATGTAAATATATATTTTAAATAGATCCATATTTTGTATTACATAAATATATATTTATGTATAGTAAACATGCATTTATGTCTGTTAATACATATTCTCGGGGGCTGGAGAGATGACTCAGAGGTTAAAAACAATGGTCACACCTGTAGGGGATCTGTGTTTTGTTCCCAGCACCCACATGACCTCTAACAACCATCCTTAACTCCAGTTCCAGGGGATCTGACTCCCTCTTCTGACCACTGGCATTGCATGACCAGGGTGCACTTACATACATACAGGCAATACACTCATATACATAGACTAAAAGTAACAAATAAAAATATTTTAAAAACAACTGGGTGTGCTGTCATACCTTTGATCCCAACCCTGGAGGGGTAGAGGCAGGTGAATCTGTGAGATATAGGCCACCCTGGTTCACATAGTGACTTCCAGGCAATCTGGGACTTCACACACACACACACACACACACACACACACACACACACAAATTAAAAATAAACATATTTTTAAAAAAACATAAAAGATGCTTAAGAGTGAGATTGAACTGTCGAAATGTGGAAGTGGGTGATATTCTTTCTTTTTTTTAGTATATTTTTTCTTTTCAGATTGGGGCAATGTACACATCTGCTAATAATGTGTATTTAAGTCTTAGTTTGTTTATTACTTTCCACCACTGTGACTAAAATATCTGATGCAAACTACTTTAAAAGACAAAATATTTCCTTCGGTTTGTGATATGTAAAGTCCTAGTTTGTGGTCATCTATCTCTGTAGCAAGGACCTTGTAGTGAGGCAGAACTTGATGGTGGCAGAAGCATATGATAGAGAAGCTCTTCGCCTTATGGCAGGTTGGAAGCTGAGAGATTGAAAGTGTGAAGAGACCAGTGGCAAAGTGCATCTGTCAAAGTCGCTCTCCCAGTCACTTCTAATTCAACTCCTACTTCCTCCAATGAGGGCCTAACTTAGTTTCTAACATGCCCCTCCCAATAATACCATGTATGCATCTTTAAATGGATTAATGCATTAAGTCAGAGCCACCACATCATAATCAACCACTTTCTTAAAAACCCATGTCTGAAAATTGCATCAGGAACCTAAGCCTTCCAATCATGAGAGTTTTGGAGGAATACTTCAAATCCAAGCTGCAGAATCTAGTAAAATATTTTTTTTAAGTAAAGCTGAACTGAAGTACTTCACATTATCTTTATTGTTTTACAAGTTTCATCAGGTCCTAAATGATGCATTCATTATTTTTTACCATTAATATGTTCTCAATATACAAACGTGGATGCAAATTCATAAATACTAGCTGGCATATTCCATTTATAGTTGCCTTTTTTAAAAGCTTTCATAATTCCTGGCATTTATCTGACCTCTGTAATTGCTGAACAAAATTACTTTGAATGTTTCTCTGCTGCACTTAAAACTCTCAGAGAAATATTCATAAAGAATGGCTAAGAAATGCAACAAAGAATAATACTAGAAGCTACATAGCAGACATCCCACTGCTGTGTCTTATATTATTAACCAAAAGTATATGAAGACCAAGTTTTTCTGTTGAGAGCAACCAGCATCCTGGACAAAAACATAAGCAAAATAAGATAGAACGGACAAGATCCAAGAGCTCTTTCTTCTGAGAATGTAGGATTTTTGCCCATTAAAAATACATTTGACTCATGAGCTGTGATGTTTCTAGTTGTCTTGCACTGATAAATTCTCAAACAAGGTTTACTATGAATCACTTATTAATGCGTGACTCGTCTTGCTCTGTTCTAATACTTATGTATGTTAATGGGGCTGATATCATCATCAAAGCTGTCTCCTGTGGTCCTCGGTTGTTATTGTTACACCACAGTAGCTACTGTCTTTGCAATTGTAGTAAAAGCAATCTTGTGCTTTTCTTGATTTGCCTCTTTTATTTTGTATTGGATTTTAGTAAACATATTAGCACAGCTGTGTGTGTACATAATGTATATTAAAGGCACTGGAAAGGATAATACAATAAACAGTGTGATAATTTTTAAAGAAATTAAAAATTTTCATGTGAAGATATTTAATATTTTTTGATATTAATATTAATTGTTTGAGACAGGATCTCCCTATAGCCCCAGCAGCTTGGAACTCACAATGTGAAACAGGCTGGTGTTGATTTCACAGGATCCACCTGCTTCTGCCTCCTGAGTGTCAGGATTAAAGGTGTGCACAACCATACCTTACTAATTTTAGTCTGTTAACAACAACAGTAGTGTTTAAATATTTCTCCATAAAGGACATACAAATTGTGAAGTACATGAGGAGTTTAAAATTACTAATAATCAGAAAAATGAAAAGCAAAACCTGTGAAGTGTCACACAACACCTCTCTGAATGGCTGTTAGTGCAAAATGAAAATCCATCCTTATTTGTGAAGTGAGGTTGTGGGGAAACTGGAGCCATATTATATTTTTGGAGAGATTGAAAATGGTACAACTGCTATGGAAAACAGCCTAGAGGGTCCTAAAAATTAAATGTAGAGCAAACATCAGATTCTTCTTGGTCTCATTTAACATCCTACCTTAATTAAAATCCTTTTGTAATGCAAAATACATAC